TGCTCAAGGACCCTCGTCCCTCCTCTCTCCCCTGCTGCTACGTGCACTGGTACTTGCCGCAGCGCTGATCTGCTGCGGGCCCGAAGTCTTAAGCCGGGCCTGTCCCCCTACAGGCCGATTTTGGACGAAAAACAAGTGGCACGCGTGCTCTGGCTCTTGCACATATGAGGAGAAGAGGAGGAGGAGGAGGAGGAGGAGGAGGAGGAGGAGGAGGAGGAGGAGGAGCAGACGCAGATGGGGGGATCGAGGAAACAAGGAGGAGGAGGAGGAGGAGGAGGTGGAGGAGGAGGAGGAGGGGCAGGTAAGGCCAAGGCGCCCCAGTGCTGAATCAGCGGCTGTCGATTGGGACCTGCTCGAATGAGTTTTTGTTGGTAGCTGAGGCGCGATAGATGAGGAGGCTGGGTCCAAGGGACAGGGCCAGCGGGGCGAGGGGGGCTGGGGCAACGGCCAGAGGCAGGGTCCAGTGCCAGGACCAGGGGCGCGAGGGCGGCTGGGGCCAGGTCAGGGAGGGAGGCTGGCTCCAGGGCCAGGACCAGGACCAGGGAACGAGAATAAAGGGTCCAGCGCGAGGGAGGCTGGGTCCATGGCCAAGGCAGGGGTACGACGACGAGCGAAAATGAAGGGTCCAGGGAGAGGGGGGCTGGGGCCAGGGCCAGGGGAGGCGACGACGAGGGGGTCTGGGTCGAGGACCAGGGCGAATGCTGGGTCGAGGGCCAGGACCAGGGGGACGACGACAAACGAAAATAAAGGGTTAGAGGCGAGGGGGCTGGGGCCAGGGCCAGGTGAGGAGGCTAGGTCTGGGGCCAGGTGCCGTGCCGAAATAAAGCGGTCGGGGCGGAGGGGGCGCGTTGGCTGGTGGGGCCGGCGCCGTGCCAAAATCAAGCTGTCGGGGCGGAGGGGGTGCGCTGGCTGGTGGGGCCGGCGCCGAGGGCACTCTGGCTGGCGGGCTGGCTGCGCTGGCTGGTGGGAGAAGGATGCGGAGGGCTGGTGGGCTGCTTCGGCATGGCTGCTTTAGAACGTGGATGCGGAGGGGGCGCGCTGTGAGGCGCGGGCCGACGGGCTGCATCGACCGGTGCCGTGCCGAAATAAAGTCGTCGGAGCCCTTAGACACCCTGTGCAAGAGAATGAAAGAGTCGGGGCGGAGGGAGCGCGCTGGCTGGTGTTTGGGGGGGATGCGGAGGGGGCGCGCGGGATGGGGGGAGGGTGCCGTGCCGAAATGAAAGGGTTTGGGGCGGAGGGGGCGCGCTGGCTGGCGGGGGGGATGCGGAGGGGGCGCGTGGGCTGGGGTAGGGGGGGGGGCGTGCCGAAAGATAAGGTCGGGGCGGAGGGGGCGCGCTGGCTGGCGGGTGGGGTGGTGGTGGTGGTGTGGGTGCGGGGAGAGGGGTGGGAGTGCCGTGCCGAAATGACAAGATCGGGGCGGAGGGGCGCGCTGGCTGGCGGGTGGGAGGACGCGGGGGGGGGCGCGCGGGATGGGGGGGGTGCTGTGCCGAAATAAAAAGGGTCGGGGCCGAATGGGCGCGCTGGCTGGTGCGTGGGGGGGGGATGCGGAGGGGGTGTGCCGTGCCGAAATGAAAGGGGTCGGGGCGGAGGGGTGTGCCGTGCCGAAATAAAGGGGTCGGGGCGGCGGAGCGCGCTGGCTCGCGGGCGGGGGGGGGCGCGGGGGGATGTTTTGAACATCTTTTGAACATCTGGAAACTCTTTGACAGCACGCTTCCTCTCCATCGATCGTCGTCCACACCTCCACTGATGTTGTCGGCATCACTCCCAGCAATCCTGGGTCCACCGCGCCACTGCCTCCAGCGGTGCGCCCTCTGGCCGCGCTGGGGCGCGAGGTCGGCGCAGGTCGTCGCTGGCGGAGGACGAGGAGCAGGAGGCGAAGAAAGGGGGAGGTGCATGCAGCGGCAGGTCCGCCGTCAGCGGAAAGCTGAAGTCTCAAACTTCCACGAGGAACATGCTGGTGGGGGAAGCTTCCGCGGCCGTCCTGCCTGTCAATGCTGCCCACGCTCGGCTGGTAAGAAAGGGAAGAAGCAGGAGGAGGAGGAGGACGGAGGAGGAGGAGGAGGAGGACGGAGGAAGAGGAGGAGGACGGAGGAGGAGGAGGAGGACGGAGGAGGAGCACGGAGGAGGAGGAGGACGACGACGGAGGCGGGGGGAGAGGAGGGGGGCGAGGAGGGCACGAGGAGGAAGAGTGGGGAGGAGGGCGGGGGGAGGCGGAGAGAGGGGCGCGCGCCAAGGCTCCAGACGTCGGCGCGCTCGTCGTAGCTCTCGTCGAGCACCTGGGCGGCAACCGCTGCAGGGCACGGGCCGTGCCGAAGGCCGGGCCGTGGCCATACATTCATCCATACATCCATCAATTCATCCATCAATCCATCCACATCATTTGCATCATCATCGTCGTCATCATCATCATCATCATCATCATCATCATCATCATCATCATCATAATCATCATCGTCATCATCATCAGCATCATCAGCATCCGCATCAACATCATCGTCATCATCATCACCATCATCAGCATTATCAGCATCACCATCAACAGCGTCATCATCATCATCATCATCATCAGCAGCATCATCACCGTCAGCATCATCATCGTGATCATCATCATCATCATCATCATCATCATCATCATCATCATCATCATCTTCATCATCATCATCACCCTCATCATCATAATAAGCATAATCATGATCATCATCACAAGCATCATCATCACCGCCATCATTATCAACAGCACCACCATCATCATCACCATGACCACCATCAGCAGCATCACCATCATCATCAGCATCATCACCATACTCCTCATCATAATCGGCATCATCAGCATCATCATCAGCATCATCAGCATCGTCAGCATCACAATCATCATCAACAGCATCAGCATCATCATCACCATCATCATCAGCATCGGCATCATCATTATCGTCACCATCATCCTCGTCATCATCATCATCACCATCATTAACATAATCAGCATCATATTCGCCATCATCGCCATCTGGATCATCAGCAGCATCACCATCATCAGCATTATTAGCATCATCATCATCATCATCAACATCGTCATCATCATCAACATTATCGTCATCACCAGCAGCATCATCATCGTCATCATCATCGTCATCACCATCATCATCATCATCAGCATCATCATCACCATCGTCATCATCATCACCATCATCATGAGCATCAGCATCACCATCCTCATCACAATCATCATCACCATCATCACCATCACCACCATCATCATCATCGTCATCGACATCATCGTCGTCATCGTCATCGCCATCGTCCTTGTCATTATCATCGTCTTCGTCATCATCGTCGTCATCGTCATCAGCATCAGCATCATCACCATCATCATCAGCCTCAGTATCACTACCAACGGCATCAACAACAACAGTCAATTTAAGACTGTTCGCTCTTATCTGTTCGAGTGCCATGCAACACGTATATTCAAAACCGTCAATACCCGCCCTCTTCGTCTTCGATCGTACCCCCTGTGGGGCTCTATCGTCCTTCCCTGTCACGCGTAGTTGGAGCAAACCCTAAAGCAGGGGAAGGGAGGAGGGAAGGGACAACGGGGAGAAAGAAGGATGGAGCACGACAGAGATTAGCAGGAGGGGGACCAGGAGCAGCCAAGCAAGCGTTAGAACCAGACGGGCGGGTCGAGCGGAGCGGGTCGGGCGGGAGGGCCCAGTCGGCGGGATCAAGCGGGCGGGTCGCTGAAGCGTCCGACCTGCATGAATCGCGAGGACGTCTCGAGCGATAGCGCGATTCCAAAGTAAATCGTGAGGATATCCAGAGCGAGAGCGCGCGGCGCTTCAGTACATTATGAAGGAATGCCGCGCGAGAGCGCGATTCCCGTAGAAATTGTAATGAAATCCCGCGCGAGAACGCGATTTTGAATAAACTGTGAAGAAACATCACGCTGTAGCCGCTGTTGTTGCAAACCGGTGTCAGCAACACAATCTGAGCCTCAAGACTTCTCCTTGTGTAAAACAGGTTGCGAGCATCGAGAGGGGCATTGAACTTGAAAAACACAATGGGCACCGCGCAGTGGGGGGTCAACAATAATTGTTCTTTAAAACACAAATTTCACAACAACAACACCCACAACAACAATAACAATAACAACAACAACAACAACAACAACAATCATTTTACCCGAACGCTCAGTGTTCTCACCAGTGCCAGGGTTTTCATGCGACGCGAGACAATACCCCCACTTCGTGGGGGGGCAGTTCAAGCTCTACCAAATATCCAAACGACTCTTCGCGACCACCCAAACCCAGCTTCCCGCCCTATGACGTTGGGACACTTCACTTCGTGGCGTGCGGACGACCGTGGCTACTACACTGGCGTGGGGTACACACCCACAGAACTTGGTCACTTATTCGGGGCGCGCGTGTGCCCAGCATCCTGCAATTGTGACATACAATACATGACACAGACAGACAGAGAGAGAGACAGAGAGCAGACAGAGAGAGAGACAGAGAGAGCGGAGTTGGTCACATTTTTGGGGCAAGTTCCTAAGATCGTCGTGTTTTTTGTTGGTCTTGCGCGCGCGAATGTCCACTTTACTTTTTTTTGCAAGGGAGTATTGAAATTTGATTATGTTAGAACAAGAAAAAGTAGCTCGCGCGAGCTCATGTAACAGAAATGTTGAAAAACCATTGGTTTTGTGGGAGTCGGACAGCGCGCGCGGGATGAAATTTGGACATTTTTTTTTGAAAAACCATTGGGTTTTTGATGTTTTTTATGTTGAAATCGTTACGAAACCTAAGGTTCTGGAAGGATTTCGTCTTGCGCGCGCGAATGTCCACTTTACCTTATTTTTTGCAAGGGATTATTGAAATTTGATTATGTTAGAACAAGAAAAAGTAGCTCGCGCGAGCTCATGTAACATAAATGTTGAAAAACCATTGGTTTTGTGGGATTCGGACAGCGCGCGCGGAAGGACATTTTGACAATTTTTTCTTAAAAAACCATTGGGTTTTTGATGTTTTTATGTTAAAATCGTTACGAAACCTAAGGTTTTGGAAGGATTTCGTCTTGCGCGCACGAATGTCCACTTTACCTTATTTTTTGCAAGGGATTCTTGCAATTTGATCAAGTAAGAACAAGAATTTTCATTTTCTATTGTTTTTTGCAAGGGAAAGCGGATTACAACAAAACAACCGGATCCGGACACAATCCACTTTTCTGAAGCTTTCGCGAAAAAATAATGAAAATGTAGCTGCGGCCTAGGCGCGGCGCAGAGGTCGCGCACCAGGGGTCCCAACAATAATTATTCTTAAGAAGAAATAATGTTCAACAACAACAGCAACAACAGCAACAACAACAACACGTACAACAACAGCAACAACAAGAACAACAACAGCAACATCAACATCAGCATCACTATCAACATCATCACCATCATCAGCATCATCATCAGCAGCAGCATCAGCATCAGCAGCATCATCAGCAGCATAATCATTATACGCACCATCATCATGATCTTCAGCATCCTCATGATTATTATCAGTATCATTATCATCACCAGTATGCTTATCATTATCATTATCATGATCATTATCATCCGCATCATCGTACACTATGTTAGCCTCATTCCCTCCACCTCCTCCACCTCCTCCTCGCTTTCCTCCGCGCCCTCCTCATCATGCTCCTCCATTTACGGCGGATGATGCAAAAACCTACGCGACCTCGTGAGGTAAGCGGAATCGCAAACACTGGTTCGTCAGTCCATGGCTCGGGGCCCATCGCGCCTCGTAATCAGAGCAGCCCTCGTTTACTGTCTGGAACTTTTACTCAGCGTGTCGCGGCGGCGGCCCCAGCGACACGCTATGCCGTGCGAGCTGATAGCGTGTCCCTCCGCTCCGCGGGACGGGAAGCTGGGGAAAGATCTGTACGTCGGCGCTCGGGGGCTGGGACGTGGTGAGCGTGTCGCGCCGAAGCGTGGTGAGCCAAAATCAGCGGCGCGACGCGCGAACCAGAAGTTCCTGACCGTCTTGTTCGACGCAACGTTGGGTGTGCTCTAGGTGGAACGAACATTGGACTCAGACGGCCCTCGCGAGGACAAAAAAACAAAACACTGGCGGCCAGCAGGAGGTGCGTTCGAAGCCACCTACGGCCCCAACGTCGCAACTCGGCTGGGAGACGTTTCTGGACGAACAGATGGGGCGAGTCGAAACGTAAAAAAAGCAGCAATTTCCCGCCAGGGTGCTGTGCCGAGGATCTGCCGTGGGAGAACCCCCAAGGGCTGCGCCGAAAGCTCGCGAGAGAAGGCAAAAAGAAAAGGGAGGCCGAGGGGGACGGGGCGGGCGCTGGCAGAGCTGGGTTTGGTGGGACCTGGCTTATAGATGTGTACCTGGGGGACGCCCCCCCCCCCCGCCCCGTTCCACTATGACGGGAACTGCCGTCACCCGCAAAAAGCAGCAGCTGCGGCAGACCTGGCTTGGTGATGCTGGCCACTGCAGGGGGCTCCGGGGCCCTGCTGCTACTAACCAGGCCCCCTTGCCTGGGGTCCTGGCCATACCCGAGCGGGAGCGCGGGAGGAGGGACAGGAGGGAAAAAGGCAGGAGAAGCCGCCGACCCCCCCGCTTGCTGGGGAGCGAGAAGCTGCATGAGACGGTTGTCGGCGGTGGACAGACCTCCCTTTAGTAAAACGTGGTTTAGTGCCAACGACCTCGGGCCCAAACCTTGCGGGCGCAAGCCTGGAAAATAACAGCTCGGCGCCATCTCGAGAACCGAAAACGGACAATTCACTAATCGACGTGTCACTGTTGGGGGTTCTGTCCACCCCCGAAGTTGTCGGCGGTGGACAAGCCTTTTTTGGCCCAGAAGGAGGCCTTTGGGGTCCGAAAAGGCCACCTTCCTCCCTCCCCCCACGTATCGCGCCCCATGAATTCGCGCCCAAGCGGGGCTGGACAGAACCCCTCTGGGAAAACACCCCTTTCGACGGTGGACAAACCTCCCTTTAGCACATCACCCTTCAGTCAACAAAACGGCCTGGGACCGACACCGACGGACCCGGACCCGCCAAAATGACGGCCGCGACGCCCTCTCGCGAACCGAGAACGGCCAATTCGCTGAGCGACGCGTCCGGGTAGGAGGTCTATCAACCCCCTAATTTCAGCGCCGATCATAAAAGGGCTTAATGCGGGATGACGATTAATAAAAAAATGGGGGGGAACGATTAAGAAAAAAGTGTCCTGCTGTTTCTGCAGAAATTTCTGACTGGAGGAGAACGATTAAAACAAATACTTTTCCAGCCCGCGGCCGGTTTTTTCTAATCGTCATCCCGGGCGCCGGAGGTCTATCAACCTCCGATTTTTTGTTTTTTTGTTCCCCCTTTTGTTTTCTTTTCAAATTTCTATCATTTTTTCCCCTACGCAAGCAAATCGGAAGCCACCAGGACCGGCTCGTCAGGTCCCTACGTGCCGCCACGCTGGTTCGGGGCAGGCTGTGCTGTCCGGCGGAAGGGGGCGAGGAGGGGAGAAGCAGGCAGGCGACGACGAACGCCCCGGCGGGAGGCCAGGGCCTGCGGAGGGGCGGGCAGGCAGAAGACGGGCCAGGCGGAGGGCTTTACGCGAGGTGACACGGCGACCTCACGCCGCAGCCTGCGCGGGCCGCCGGCACGGGAACGCTGCTTTGGAGACGAGGACGCTCGCGCGCGAGCCTACGCGGGCGGCTTGCGCGCCAACGTCGGCGCAGACGACAGACGACCCCGATGTTTTGCGTGGCCCATGTGGCTGCCCCCCATCCCCCTTTTTCCCCGTCCCCTGGGACCCAAAATCGCATTAGAGGGAGGGGAGCAAGGGGGGGGGGGAGGGGGGGGAAGGAGCACCGGGAACTCATCAACACACCCTACGGTCAAAAACCCTAACAAGGACGCGCGGCAAGGACGCAAGACCCTTGGAAGCCGAAGTTGGGACTTTTGGGGCGGCGGACGACGAAAACCTCAAGGACGCAAGAGCAAGGAAGAGCCAGGACGCAAGGGTACCCTGAGCAAAGTCGCGCGTCCTTATTAGGGTTTTTGACTGTAGTGCCTCCGGAGCCTTCAGATCTACACTCCGTGGCCTCCAAGATGCCCAAGATGCCATCTAAGCTAGCTCAAGCTGGACTCCAACACGCCGAGGAGTCTTCAAAGACGACCAAGATGACCTCAAAACTGCCCAAGAGGCCTCGAGAACGTCCCCAGAGTGCTCCCAGACGACCCCCGAGAGATCCCCAAGAAGAATCGTCGAAATCACCAGGGGCACCGCTTATTTTCAGCATATTCCCATCTCTGGTTTCAACGGCTTCCAAGACGGTTCAAGGGGCCCCCCAGATCGCTCCAGGACGGCCCCAGAAGCCGCAGAGGGCCACAAGACGGCCGAAGAGGACCCCGAGACGGCCCAAGAGGCGCCCAAGAGGCGCCCAAGAGGGCCCCCAGCAGGGCACAAGAGCTGGCCTGCCGAGCCATCCGCCCCAAGAGGACCCCCGGGACCGCGAGAAGGAGAACAGGAGACCCCCAAGAGGCCCGAAGAGGCCCTTAAGAAGACCCAGAAAAGGCCCCCAGAGGGCCCCCAAGAAGACCCAAAAGGCCTCCCCCCTCCTCCTCCTCCTCCTCCTCCTCCTCCTCCTCCTCCTCCGCCTCCTCCTCCTCCTCCTCCTCCTCCTCCGCCTCCGCCTCCTCCTTCGCCGCCTCCTCCTCCTCCTCCTCCTCTTCCTCCTCCTCTTCCTCCTCCTCCTCCTCCTCCTCCTCCTCCTACTACTTCTTCCCTCCTCTGGGGGTCGGCCGAATGGCGCAAGCCTCTTGAACACAAGCAGCAGTCGGAGAACTGGAACGCGGGGCCCTCCAGAACTCCAGAACGCCTCAGGGGCCAAACTGGGCGTGCAAACCGGGATCTTCAAACATATAGCAAAACCAACAGATGTTGGATGATTCGAGCGCGTTTCTTTACTTTCGGCGATGATGGGCATTATAGGGGGGGAGGGGCCAGGGGGGGGTATAATGTAACGCCTCCCCCCCGCCGTGCGCACGGCGGCAATGCCCGGAGCGCACTGGGGTGGGGAGGGGCGCTACGTTGGGGAGGGGGGGGGAGGGGGGGGGGTCGGGGTCTATAATGCCCGTTATGCGCCGAGCAAGAAACAAACACGCTCTTTTCACTTCTCCAGGGGTAGCCTGGACGCCTCTTCTAGCCGACACACGGCCTCGTCTGGGCCATTTTCGAACATGCACATTTCGTCGCCGATTTGGGGAATCATCGGTATCAATTTCTGACGATGATGGGCCCAACTGGGGCCACCAAAACAGAGCCAAAACCGGGCCAGATCCGGGCCAGGTTTCGATGCAAATGCGATCGGGGCTTGGGCCTACCATGGGGATGCTCGCGCTTGAGCCGTCCAGAGGCCCGCCTGGGCAGCCTCGGGCCCTTCTTGTGCCCTTTTGGGCCCTTCTCGGGGCCCTCTTCGGCCCTTGAGGGCGCCTCTTGGACCTGTGAGGGGTCTGTCACCAGTTTCGGAATATATACTGCCATCTCGTCTTCGTCTCCAGCAGCGAGGACTGGAAGGATCGGGCGGCGAGCGCGAAGCGTTTTGAAGACAAGCGCCGTCTTCGTCTTCTCAGGCGAGGACTGCGAAGGAGCGGGCGGCGTGCGCGAAGCGTCTGGAAGACACGCAGCAGCTGGAAACCTAGAACGCGGCGGCAGCAGCGCACCAGCGTCAGGGAGACGTAAGACTCGTGTACGGGGGACTCGGGTTGGACTGACGGGGCCATGGTGAAATGACGAGGCCCAATCTGAAATCTGACGCGAGCTCCCGCTGCAGACAACCCACGAAGATCGGACCGTCAAAATCCAGGACGCGCTCGTCAAAAAACGTCGGCAAACCGAAATGCAGCTCACTCGTGTCTTACGTTCCCCGACAGCGGCGGCGGCAGCAGAAGAAGAGCGGGCCTCCGGCGCGATGTAGTCGGGCGTGCCCACCGCGGTCATGCGGGGCATGGCCGCCAGCTGCCGCGCCCCAGCGCACTGCTCGAAGACCTGGCCCCGCGCCCCGCGTCGCACGGATGCTGCTTCCCCGTCTGCCACAAGGAACAACCAGCCCTGACTGCTCCTCCTGCTCCTGCTCCTTGTCAACATCATCACGATTACCATCCCCACCACCATCTTGAGCCCTCTCCTGAATACGTGAGCCTTCTCATCCTCCAACTCTTCATCCTCCACCTCCTCCCCCATCCCACTTCCTGATAAACAGATCCCCCCTGTCGTACCCGCAGACGTGTTGGTAGGGCGGGCTGGGCGTTTCGCCTGAGACTTCCTCACCGTTCATGATGCTGAAGCTTGAAGGTTCCAACAGCTTCACAGATGGAGAGCGGGCCGTTTTCAAATTGTGCCTCTCGCAATAGCGTCGCGCACACTCCTCTTTCACAGATGGAACGCGGGTTGTTTTCAAGATGTGGCTCTCGCCCTCGCGCCGCGCACATTCGTCTTCGGGGCTTACATTCGTCGTAAGGAATCGTAAGGTTAAGTCCCGGGAATGGGTTTCTACTGCGATGTAGGACTGGGAACGGTGTTCTGACACGATTTAGTTTTGTCAGGGCGCAACAGTCACCGTGATTTGCGGCGTTGATGTCCCAGGAACTGTGTCTTGGTACGGTTAAGGATTCTAAGACGGCTGTCTCCCAAGTGGACACTTCCAGCAATGAAACCACATTCATGTGGAGCCTATGACAAGGAAAGTTGGAAGGAGGGTGTATCTCAACATCGTTGGCACGTCGTGGATTTACACTGGTCTTCCTCATCCTCTTCCTCTTCATCATCAACTTCATCGTCATCATCATCTTCATAATCATCGCAGCATGAGCATCATAATCATCCATCTTACCGTCATCAGCATCAGCATCATCATCATCGTCATCAGCATCAACATCATCATCCGTATCAGCATCATCACCACCACCATCATCATCATACTCAGCATCAGTGTCGTCGTCATCACCACCACCACCACCACCATCATCAGCAGCAGCACCACCATCGTCGTGTTCTCCCTTTTCGTGACCCGCAAGAGGACACGAGACGCTACCACGCCCGCAAGAGAGAAGAGCCAGACGGGCCGCGGCCTTCGAGAGGCCGAAATCAGCAATCTTGACGTCGCACAGCTCCCGGCACGCGTGCTCGGGCGACGGGAAGCTCCTCACCTCGGGAGCGGAGGGGCTGGAATTGGGAGGAAGGGGGAGGAGGGGAGAGGGGGGAGGCAGGGGGGAACTTCGTGGGGTGGGGATGCGGGGATGGGGGCGGGGGTGGACAAAGCAGGATTACTTTTTTTTGGTCGCGGCTCCAAGGAAAAGCCCAGGGAGCGGGCACAACGTCCGGGGCGCGGTACATTGTACATCTGCGGATCCGGCCGTCACTGTCGACAGCCGACCGCACCTGCAAGCACACTCGCAGTTGCGCATGCACAGCACAAAATGAAGTAAATTCGCAGACAAACGCACATAGGCGCAGCAGACTCATGACTCCCAGGCTGGGGCGGCATTGTGGGAGGAGCATGCCAGCCTTCCCGAAGCCAGCGGTTCGGCCGACTCCGTTTGCGTCCCGTCGCTGGCCGACGGTCGTTCTGGACTAGCCTTCTATTGGACTGAGGGGGAGGAGGAGGAGGAGGAGGAGGAGGAGGAGGAGGAGGAGGAGGAGGAGGACGAGGAGGATGACGAGGAGGAGGAGGAACAGGAGGATGGTCATTTGTCGCTTGCGAGTGGTCTGTTTCGGGTTGAGAAAACTCCTCCTCCTCCTCCTCCACCTCCTCCTCCTCCTTCAGCGTGGTAGGGCTTGGGATGGCGAGGGGAGACGAGGGGAGGGGGATCTGGGGGCGAGGGGGGCAGCGGGGGGAGGGTGGAGGGCCCGAGGGGAGGCTGCTGGAGGGGGGAGGGGGCGGTGAGGCAAGGCGGATCCGCTTTTGGGAGGGGTTGTCTTTGCTCCTCCCCCCCCTTTGATGGGCGTGTTTTCCACCACCACCACCAGAAGTTGGAGGGGGAAAGAGGAGGAGGAGGACGAGGAGGAGGAGGACGAGGAGGAGGAGGAGGAGGAGGAGGAGGAGGAGGACCCCCTCCCCCTCCAACTTATGGTGGTGGTGGTGGTGGAAAACAGGCCGATCACCCTTGTCGGGGGTCTACCAACCCGGGCCAATCCAAGCCCGAGGAAGTCAGGCTCTGCAGGCTCCCGCAGAGTCCAGCAGGATCCTGCAGGATCCTGCACCCTGACTCGGGTCAGTGCAACTTTGGCTCTGCAGCATCCTGCAAGATCCGGCGCTCGGGCTGACCCCCGTTTGCATTGACCACCGTCTCAAGGCTCCCGAGCTTGAGTAGACGAGGCCAGGCCGGGTCAGTCGTGCCGTGGGCTGCGGCAGCCTATGGACCTCTGCATGATGTATGGGCTGGAGTCCAATATTAGAGAGCGCTGGCCATGCGATTGGGAGGGATCTCGGGGCAGACCCGAGAGGAAGGAACAAGAAGCCGCAACCGAAAGGCCTCAAAGCAGCTAGCAATAACGCATGCGCCCCATACTGCGAAATCACGGGGCGACACCTGATAAGCACATCAAACAAGACCGCGCGTTCTGCTCTGACACAGCGCGAATCACATCAACGTCCGACCACCCAAAGAAGTGGAGCGTCTGGTCACCTGCCGGAGGGCGAAGTTTCACGGCAATGTTATCATCGTATGCCTGGTCACCACCTCTCACCGCTCGAAAATAACTATCCTGGAAATCGACTTGACAGCTGTGAGAGTAATCATCCTCCCCGCTAGAAGCCAACGTCGAACCAATGAATCGACAGGTGTTGCTGGACTTCTCGTTGGGGGTGTACATGTTCATAGATGAGCGCAGTATCGCTGTCGCTAGAACCCCCAACCTCCAACTGCACGCGCGCCATCTCCATCACATCGCCGGAATGACTCATGTTTGCGATCGTTTGCTCAATCCGATCTGCTCGATACTCTACGTAAGTTCGCAACGTACTTCTCCACCCGATCTGGTATGCCCTCGATGCTCGCCAGCACGTTTCCCTAAACATGAGCGGCGATAGTCGCGCCGCCTGACTTCGTCTTTACGTCAACATGCGACGAAACAGACCCAGCAAGAGGGCGCTCATCGCCCTTCTCGCGCGTCCGTCACACCTGCTTTTCAGAAAGGTCTAGCCTCCACGCCCACTTGCTTCGACATCCCTGATCCGCTGCGCACTCCTTGTCGGGTGCCATCCCACCTCTCTCCTGTGAAGCCATGGGAGCAGGGCGCTAGCACGGCATAATCCAGGCAATAGGAAGTAGGCAAGCGATCAAGGCATAAGTGAACGTGCAGCTTACCTCCTGACTATGTAAGCCTCATTCTCCTCAATCCCTTCCGCCTGCTCCTCCTCATCTCGAGGATGAGAACCAGCATAAACATACAGTCGCGAAGCTACACGCGAATTTCTTTGATATGCGCTGACCCTACTCCCTGGCGCGCGCCGCCAAGGGGGCCCAGCGCCGATCCGAGAAACCCGCGCGGCGCCCCGACAGATTATGTTTATGCAGTTTCCTCTTCTCTGATCCTCCTCCTCCTCCTCCATCTTCTCCTCCTCATCATCCTACATCCTCTTAATTCCCCCCTCCCCCTCCTCCTCCTCCTCCTCCTCCTCCTCCTCCTTCTTCTTCTTCTTCTTCTCCTCCTCCTCCTCCTCCTCCTCCTCCTCCCCTCCTCCTCCTCCTCCTCCTCCACCTCCTCCTCCTCCTCCGCCTCCTACACATCCTCCTCCTCCTCCTCCTCCTCCTCCTCCTCCTCCTCCTCCTCCTCCTCCTCCTCCTCCTCCTCCTCCTCCGCCTCATCTGCATCCTCCTCCTCCCCTCCTCCCCCCGCCCTCGCCCCATATCCTCCGCCCGCTGGGCCGGTGGCGATCATCACGTTCTCCAGCTTCAGGTCGCGGTGGATGACGTTATGCGCGTGCATGTAGCTGATTCCTGGCAGACCGGCGGGGGCGGCAAAGACGTGGAGGAGAAGGAGGAGGAGGAGGAGGAGGAGGAAGGGGGTTCGCAAATCATGGCCGGAGGCGAGTGCGCGGCCGGGGGGGGCCAGAGGACGCATTGAAATGAGAAGAAGAAGAAGAAGAAGAAGATTAAGAAGAACGATATAGAAATGCCCACAGAACACGTGCGCGCCCAACCATGCAATTGCCTGAGCACGGCCCCCCCAATCCGCGAATCTGGCCGCGCGATACGGGAATTCACGCAACGCGTACTCTAGAAACCAACGTGGATTCATGTACGTGTACGTCTTTCTTTCGCTCCTGAGAAGAAGAGGCAAAAGGAGGCCATGATATCTGGGGAGATTTGATGGCCCCAGCCATGATCTCCACATCCCCCTAGGCATTACCACCCTCCTGGACGTCGCCGGAGAGCGCAAGGGCGAGGCAGCGATACTAAGGTACAAGCTGATGGCTGATGCAGCAGCACAGTCTGAGGATGCCGCTGCTGGGAAGTGACCTGCGGGAATAAGCCATCTCCATTGACTGCCCTAGACATTCCACAGTATCGTACTGGGGCAGCTGTAGACTTCCGATGGCCTTCGAATTGATTTTGGCCTTGGCGGCGACGGCTGCTGCCGCTGGGGCTGGAGAGCCCGCCGCCGCCTCGCCCGCGCACTTGGAAGCCTCCTCGGCGTCGTGCTCCTGGCGCAGCGTTGCCAGCCTCTTGTCCGCCTCCTCATGCGAACTGATATTCGGCCCCCCTTTGGGCCGCCGCGCTTGATGAGCTGCATCTGCACAGAGCGGCCCAGCAAGCCGACCTTCCCGATGGGCTTGTGCAAGCGAGGGCACGCTGCATTGTGGCAGCCCTTCCAGCTGGAATTGCCCCAGCAGATGGTGCGCCCACTCGTGGGCGACTTGGGGCGGTGGTCGAGGCTGCGACCGTATTCCTTGCGCGTCAGGGCTTGCCCAAGTAGGCCTGCGCCCTGGCCCCCTGCTGCCCCTCCTGCGCCCTAGCCCCCTGGGCTGCCACCTCCTCCGCCTCCAGCTCCGCCCGCGCCCGCCTTGGGGCGCCCTGTCTGGGCTGGCTGCCCCGCCCCCGCTCTGGGGCGCCCCGTCGGGTGCGCCGGCAGCGCGGGCAGCGCGGCGTTGGAACGGAAAAAGGTCTGCCACTGCGACCTCTGAAGCTCGCTGCGATGCCTGACCTTTATGTCTGTCATGAAGTACTGGACAGGCTCGCCCAGAAAGTAGGCACGTGGCATCATTCTACCACGGCCCAAGGTCATCCGCACTGGCCGGGGCAGCGCACACGAACCGGATGCGGCCCCACGTCGGGTCTCATCGCCCATGAGCCCCAGCACCTTAGCCCGCTGCATGCGTAGCTCTTCGCACCACCTGCCCCTCAGCTCGGCCCAGATGCCGAAGATGACGTTAGGCGGCCAAGCGTAGTCAGCCTCATCATTCATGCTGCGCAGCTGTTCCGCGGCCTTGACTTGCTGCTCGTAGTGCTCCTGCCCGTAAATGTGCGACCGTGCCCAGGCCTCCCGCTTAGCGTTCTGGAGCCAGTGTTGGGGTGTAGACGTATGCCTCCGCCTGGTCTCCAACTTGTAGTCCTTCGGCGGCATGTAGTTGTCCATGTCCGCTTCCGATGTATTGGGGAAGTTGGCGCATCCCAGGCAGTAGTCCGGCATGTCCACGTGGTCGCGCCCCCCGTGCTGGAACGCCGCTAAGCCGTAGGCGATCATATTGGCGATGTTTGTCGGGAAGTTGATTGAGCGGATCGAGCGGAAGAGCGGCCCGGAGCTCTGCCCGACCGACCTCAGCGCGTGGAACGCATCCTTGCCTAGCAGGCCCAGGCAGAGTGTGACCGTGCAGAAATCGCACCCCCTCGCCATGTACACCAGCTGCTCCTCCGCGCGGCCGACGCCGGCGATGGCGCCCTTGGCCGCCCCGCCCGACTCCTCGGAGTGCTTATTGGCCCGGCCCAGCTCCCTGGCCAGGTTTTGCAGCCCTATGCCGAGCTCCGACTCAGGTTGCGGGGCCCTCAAGATCCGCTCCTCCTGGGGCATCGAAGAGGCCCCTGCGTGCCATTCGCGCAGCCGCGTGACCCGCTCCACGAACGACGGCTGCCAGGGCTGCCTCTCGGCCCAAAAGGAGGTCGAGCTGGCCCCACCCGATCCGTAGAACGCGCTCGGGTCGAAGGCCGCGGCCGCGGGCGTCTGCAGCGTTGGCGGCCGCTCCCCGAAGCCGACAAAGCCCAACCCCGGCGGCGCGCCCGGCCTGGGCCCCGACGGGGGCGGGCCCGGGAGAGGGCCCGGGCCTGGGACCGGGCCGACCCAGTGCGCGGGGGCGCCTGCGGGGCGCTCCCAGGGCCTCTGGAGCGCAGGCGAGGGGCCTGGGACCTGCGCATTGTGGCGGCCGTCGGGGCTCCACCTCGAAGGTGGGGGGGGCGGGCTGTCAGCCCTGCCGGCTGCTTGGCCGCCATCCCCCCCCTCGAGCTCCTTGCCCCATGTCGCCAGACATCCGCGCGCGAGGCTGAGGCCGACATCGCCGATGACGACGTCGTGCGTCGCGCCCGCCGCCTCGATGAGCTCCGCAAGCCTGCCCGCACCGTTCTGATGCGAGATAGCGCGCCGCGCGCCAGCGTCCGTCTGGCCCTCTGCCCGCTTGCCGAGGTGGCTCGAGATGAGCGCCACGCGCGGGTCGCGCGTCCTCTGCTTCTCGTCCTGCGCCTGGGCTTCCCCGAGCTTCGCGTCGAAGTCGCCCCGCGTATCCCTCCTCGTAGGAGTGGCGCTGCGACTCCAAGACTTGGTGCGCTTGGCCACGTAGTGCCGGCTGCGCTGGTTGCTGAGGGCGATAGCTGACGCGGGGCCCAAGCAGCCCCCCCGGTAGTTGGCGCCACCCCCGTGGTAGGACAGCCTGATCGCAACCCCCGACTTCCGGCAGATGGCGGGGGACTGGGCGCTCACGAACTCGTCGAGGAGCTCCGCCCTGTGCGCTGGAAAAGCTCCATCCGGGATGGAGAAGGTCAGCCCCAAGCCCACGGCCTCCACGCACGCCCTCGGGTCGTCGTCCGCGCTGTCCTTGGCAGGGCCGACGAAGCGCGCGGGGAAGCTGCAGCATGCGTCCCACTCGGCATCCGCGTCCGCCAGAAGGTCTCGCACATGGACCAGCCACGCTGGACCTGCCTCTGCCTTGGCCGAGCTGCACCGCCTGGCCGCAGTGCCAGAGGGCTGACCGTCGGGCCTCTTGGCCCCCCTCCTGTCAGCGCGGCGGGCGCTGGCCTGACGACCCCCCTCCGGCTGCGGCGTGCACGAGCGGCTGCGCCATCCCACCGGTCGGTCTGCAGCGTGGACCGCGCAGAGGGAGAACCGTCCTTCTCGACAGTCTGCTCGCGGTGGCAGTGAGAACGCGCGCATCTCCTGGGGGCAGCCTGACTCTCGTAGATGCCCGCGTGGCGCGGGCAAGCCCTGAATGAACGCGCGGGTGCCGCCCTCCTCCGGCGCCTCACGCACATCCGAGATCGCCGCATCCTCGACCAGCATCTAGACGGAGTCCTGCCGCGCGGTGCCCCGACGGCACTTGGCGCTCAGGACCTGCGCGCCCACCGGTCGTGTACGCGATCTGGTCGACCTGGCAGACGTCGACGCTGGGCTCCGACTCGGTCTCCGAATTGGGGTCTATCGCCACAGTCTTGCCTGGCTTCTCCCCGGGCTTCGGAAGCCTCCAGCGTCTCTTAGCGCAACAGCGGAACGCCTTGCAGCAGGCTCGCCCCGCCCCTCGTCACCCCCAGGCACAACACAATCGATCCCCTGCTCTCGCCCGCTCCGCTGGGGTGAGCTCGGCCAAGTCTGACGCGTGGACTCGCGAGCTGTGGTTCGCCACGCACGATGAGCTGACGCGCGCCAACGGCCGGTCGCCCTCGGGGAGTGTGCACGGTGAGGCCGCGCACAGGTGGACCTGGCCGACACCCTCGTCATCCCTGGTAGCCCCCAGGTCAGTCTTCAAGTGGCGGTGAGAGCTGCCCTTCACGTCCCTGCACTTATAGACGTACTCGTGACGAGCGACGCGGCCGCCCCTGAGGGGCCCCTGTTCGAGCCGCGCAACGGAGCCGCCAGACTTGACGATAGAGTCATTGGGCATCATCTTCTCGGCTCCTCCTCCATGCGCTCGAACCTCACTCTTGATGCAGTATTCGTCCACCGCCTTCGCCTCGCTGGGCCCGTGCCATGCAAGCGCGGCCGTGGGGTCGCCGCCCAGAGCTGCCATGACGTCGTGCACCCTCCTGCGGCCACCTGCGAACCCCTTCAGCGCCCCGACGAGGACCGAGATGCACGCCCACGCCGTGCGAATTAACCAGGCCATGAAACCCAGCGCCGGCCCGAGCACCGTAGCCACCACCATGGCCACGAGGCCCATATGGCTGCCCACTGTAATCTAGCCCAGAAAGCGCCGAAGAGGCACTGGCCCATCGCGTGGACCAAGCCTATGAGGAAGGTGATCAGCTGATGCAGCAGCGCGCCCAGGGCGTGGCCCAGCCTCTCGCAGAGCCACTTCAGCACCACCTCAACCCACGCGTTGACCCGAGCCAATGCGATGGGCGACGCTGATGCGGCAGTGCCGGGGGGAGGGCCTGGCGCGGCCCGGGTAGCCTTCTCCTCCCTGGTCGAGTTGCCCCCGCTCGGGGGCTCCTCGGGCGGCGGGGGGGGGGCACGGGTTCCCTCTGAGGCCCCTCTCCTCACACCCGCGCCTCCGGCCAGGGATGCTCCACTCGTCTCCGTGGCGCTGGCGTCGGAGACGGGCGGCGGGGGCGCGGGCGCCGCCTCTGGGCTGGCCTCCTCGCGCGGCTTCGCCTCCGCCTGCGGGGCAGCGGCGTCGCAGCAGTAGCCGTGGTATTCGTGCTCGCTGGAGCGCTGACCCCTATGGGCGGAGCGCCCGCCCAGACCTGCCATGGCTGGCGGCGGATCCGCGGCCAGGGGCTCGGCGGGTGCGGGAAGCGCCGCAGGTGTAGGTGGCCCCTCGGGCGCCGCGACCGCTGGCAACTCATCTCCGCCCGCGTCGGAGCAGCGGGCCCCGCCCTGGTTGTCGGGCTGGTCCGGCTGTTCCTCCTCTTCTTCATCGCCTGGCCCTGCACGCTCATGACCTCCCTCCTCAGGTCTGGTCATAGTAGCGGACGCATGGACCGTGGCGTACCAGTTGACTCCGAACGAGACGTCGAGCCATGTCGCCAGTGCACCCATGGCCAGAGCCAGGGTACACTGCAGGCCGTGCACAAGCCTCATCCCTCCCTGATGCCACAGCCCTTCAGGTCGCGGGCGCCTGGAAGCGTCCGCCGCGGGCCGCGGGGCTCCCCACCGGAGCCCCCGCCCGCAGTGGAGAGGGGACCTGACCCAGCCACTGACGAGCACTCCTCGGACTGCTCGGCTGCGCCTCTGGCTGGGCCAGCGAGCTATGGCCCCGCCCGCCCACCTCCAAAAAGACTGGGGCCGCTCTTAGAGCGGCCTTAAGCCAAGGGGCGACGGAGGAGGATGCACACAAGGGAGAGGGAGGCTACGATCTGCGAGGGAACCCGCTCTTCTAGCGAACGTTCACCTCTGGCGGACGGCACGGGGCGCCGCGGCCGCTCTGGGGAGCGTTCCACTCCGAGAGCGCTCCGTAACGCTCCGCCCGGGAGGCTCCGTCCGAAAAACTGGTAGACCATACCCAGAAGCCCCGGGGGGCGAGCGAGGGTCCTGGTCGTGGGTCTGGTATACAAGACTCCATCCCTGAGCCGCGGTTTTTGCATCCTGAAAATGGCCCCGGGCGGTGGAATCTGACCGAGGCGGGGAGGGTGCGGTGTACCACAAAAAATAGAGGACAGGTGGGCTGCGAGGTGCCTCTCGGACCCCGCCTTCGAGAAGGTTGCGACGCGGGCATCGCGCCGCGCCATGGCAGAGTCCAGAGCAGCGAGCGACTGCGGCGCTGGCCTGGCCATGAGGCCGACAGCGGAGGTCAGTGGCCCGGGTGCCACTCTCGGCACCCGGTGCCATGAGGGCCGGAGCGACAGCGGCGCTGGCCCCGAGGCTGGCCAGGTGCAGCATCTCCGGGCCCGGTGGCGAGGAGGCGGAGGGTGTGAACGGCAGGTGCCGCGTGCGTGCCACGAGGGGTCGCTCGAGCCCGCACCGAGAAGGAGGAAAAGGAGGAGGAGGAGGAGGAGGAGGAGGAGGAGGAGGAGAAGGAAGAGGAGGGGAGGAGGAGGAGGAGGAGGAGGAGGAGGAGGAGGAGGAGGAGGAGGAGGAGGAGGAGGAGGAGGAGGAGGAGGAGGAGGAGGACGGGAAGGGGAGGGGAGAAAAGCAGGGCAAAATAGAGGGAAACGCAACAACTGCCTGGCACACCGACTGTCGGAGGTGCGCTGGCAGGGGGGCCCAGCACAATTCCAAGAAATCCGCGCGGACCTCCGACAGGAGGAACGTGGACGGTGAGGAAAAAGGCGGGGAGGCGCTTGGTGAGCGGCAGATGCTGCGCGCGTGCCAGAAAGCGGACGCTCGAGCCGACACAGGGGAGGAAAAGGAAGAGGAAGAAGAGGAACAGGAGGAAGAGAAAGAGGAATAAGAGGAAGAGGAAGAGGAATAAGAGGAAGAGGAAGAAGAGGAGAAGGAGGAGGAAGAGAAAGAGGCGGAGGAGGAGGAGGAGGAGGAGGGAGAAGGAGGAAGAGGAGGGAGAAGAGGAGGATGAGGAGGATGAGCAGGAGGAGGGAGCAGGAGGAGGAAGATGAGGAAGAGGAGAAGGAAGAGGGCGAGGATTACGGAGAGGAGGAGGAGGAGGACGGGAAAGGAGATGAGATGTGTAGGAGAAAAGGGGATTTGGAGGAGGGAAAGGCAGGGAGAAGGAGGAGGAGACAAGGGGAGGAGGAGGAGGAGGAGGAGGAGGAGGAGGAGAGGAGGAGGGAGGAGGAGGAGGAGGAGGAGGAAGAAGGACGAGGAGGAAAGGAAAGGGAGGAAGGAAGGAGGAGGAGGAGGAAGAAGGGAGGAAAGCAGAGGAGAGACGAGGAGGAGAAGGAAGAGGAGGAGGAGGAGGAGAGGAAGAGGAGAGGAGGAGGAGGAGAGGGAGGAGGGAGGAGAGGAAGAGAAGGACAGGGGAGGGGGAGGCCGCGCCGACGTCCTGTGAGCAGCTGCCCCACGACGTGCCTCGACGCCGCCTCGCCGCCGCCGAGGCCCCCGAAGGGCGCCGGGCCCCGCGGCAGCCGCAGCTCCGCCTGCAGCTTCTCGAAGAGGGTCCCTCGTCAGGGGCGGCCGAGAGGGGGGCGTCAAGGGAGGAGGAGGAGGAGGAGGAGGAGGAGGAGGAGGAGGAGGAGGAGGAGGAGGAGGAGGCGGCGGGGAGGTGGACTGGACAGTGGACGGGATGGAGAAGGGCAGTAGTAGTCGGAGGAGGAGAGGGGGGCGTCCAAGGGGGGGGGGTGCAAATCATGGCCGGCGGCACGCGCGCGGCCCATGGGGGGGCCAGGGACGCAGTGAAGTAGGAGGAGGCGCCATGAGATCTGGGGAGACATCGTGGCCCACGCCGCCGTGGTATCCCCCCCGAGGTCATCCCCCCCCTCTTTGCCGCCCCCGACCTCAGGAGCGGGGAGGGGGATGTAAGACGAAACTGGGGCGAAGATGAAATCGGGTATGGATAGATCGGGAATATCTGTCTGGGATCCGGCGGATCTGGAGGATGTCTCGGGCGCCGCGACCTTCTCAGAGCGTTCTGGAACGCTCCGAGAGCGCTCCGATCCGAGAGCGCTCTGGACCAGATTGACCCTCGTCCCAGCCCCGTCCGAGGATGGGAGGGATGTGGAGGGAGCGAGGGGGGGAGAGGTCCCCGGAGAGTCGGAACCCGTGCGACAGCGGCAGGTAGGGGGGCCCCACCTCTGCTCACACAGCGGCTCCCAGCTTCGCGCTCCGCGCTGCGCGACGCGCGACGCGCGAACCGCCTCGCGCGCGCGCGCGCCGCCTCCCAGGGGAGAGGAGGAGGAGGAGGAGGAGGAGGAGGAGGAGGAGGAGGAGGAGGAGGCATCGGAGCCGAGTCGCGGAGCGCGAAGCACGAGCCACGCCGCGCCCTCGAGGGCGCATCCGGCAGGTGCTGCGCGTGCCCCCCCTCGACGCCGCAGGCCGCCCGCGGGGGGCGCGATGGCGCGCGCGCGCGCGCCGCGCTGCGCGGTCCGGGCGGGGGAGCCGTGCCACTCTCTGGGGGGGTGGCGGCGCGCGGGCGCGAGGATCGGTGGCTCGAACATCGATGGGATCGCTGTCCACCACCACCGCCAGGAGCTGGAGGCGGGAAGGACGTGGAGGTGACGAGGAGGAGCAGGACGAGGACGAGGAGGAGGAGGAGGAGGAGGAGGAGGAGGGGGAGGTGGAGGAGGGGGGGGTCGAGGAGGGGGAGGAGAGCCCCCTCCCCCTCCGACTTATGGTGGTGGTGGTGGTGGTGGAAAACAGGCCCATCAAGCATGGGGGCCTCTTCTCCGTCGCGCCACCATGCGTGTCTGTAGGGCGGGCTGGGCGTGTCTCCCGAGCTGGCCGCCCCGCGGGCAGCCGGGCCATGGCCCAATGCACTCCCAACCGCCTGAAACTTGTGGCGTTCCGCGTCCCTCCACCGGCCCATCCAGAAACAATCCCGACGCAAGTTGCCGTGATCAGGGAAGTGCCGCAGTATGCCTTCGTCTCCGAGGATTATTCCATAGAGGCAAAAAGGAGGAGCAGGAAACGGAGGAAGAGGAAGCAGGAGAAAAAGATGGTGGAGGAGGAGGAGGAGGAGGAGGAGGAGGAGGAGGAAGCAAGAATGGGGGGGTGCATGGAGGAACGGGCGAATGGAGGGAGGGACAGATAACAGAAGGAGGAACGAGGGATGAGCGGGTGAAGGGTAGATGGGTATAGGAATCGATGGCGGGGGGGAGACGCCGAAGGGAGGAATGGGGAAAGACACATGGGACTAGAGACTGAGGGAGGCAGGAAGGAGGGATGGGGGGGTCAAGGGATGAGGGAGCAATGGGGATGCAGCAGGAATGGTGAAAAGATTGATGGAGGGAGGAGGCTAGGGAGAATGACAAATGAAAGAGTGTGGAGTGAAGGGTTACGGACGAAAGGAGAGAGGTATAAGGGATAACTTCATGACTGCAGCAACTGGGACGGAAGGGCGGAGGGAGAAGGAAGGAGGGATGGATGGGTAGAAGGACCGAAGGATAGATGGATGAGGGACGAAGGTAATTACGAGGATCAGGATTGATGGACAGGTGGATGTATGGAGGACGGGCGGAAGGATGCGAGATGCAATAGTGAAAGGATTGATGGAAGGGGTTCATTTGAGGGAGGAGGTGGGAAGCAGAATGGAGGATGGAAGGTGGATGAATGGATGAGGTTGAGCTTGAAATTGGGGATCACAGTACAGTGCTGATTGATACTTGCTGCGCTCTGCGTTCTTGCGCTGCTCATAAGAACGTGCGTTCATGGGTAATGCGGTGTCCACAGGCGTCCTGCTGCTCGCAGTCACGGCAAGGCTCAGGGATTGTTGGGCTCAACCAGTGCAGCATGTATGACCCAATATGCGCCAAGTGGCAAAAACGATAACGAACTCACCCAACGATACAACAGCGCGCTGTCCGCTCAGTAAGTGTATGCCTCTCTGGAGGCACAGACGTTGCAAGGTAATGGATCGTAGTCAACAGCGACACCAGCGACAGTGACAACTGACACGGCGACTTCTCGCCCTTCCTTCCTCTAGCCTTGATCGGCAGTCTTGCAAAATTGCCCAACAGACCGTGGGCGCGACGGCACTATAAGCTGGGAGCAACATCGTGCAAGCCAGACTAAACTCTCAACCCAATAGCAAAGACAAACTTCCCACTACTTCTGTGAGGATAATGGGCGTTGCGGTGTTCATGCGTCTTGCTGCTCGCAGGCTCCGGCGCTCGATGGCGTGATGGTCGCTGCCCACCTTTGAGGCCTACGTTCGGCACGGTCTTGGTGGAGCTACGAAACGGGCCAAAACTTTCGCAGCGGCGATGTAGTCATGAGCGTCCCAGGGGCGCCACCATAGGTGGCGCCTCGGTTTTCAGACCGCCCTGGGCCACTCGGGGGGACATCGACACGAGCCTTGTTCAAAAAGGACAAGAACTGCTGGTAGGAAAGAGCGTGCTCTACCGCTGCTGGCGGGAAACGGGGGGGGGCCACTACCGGTTCGAACCCTGCCCCCCCTCCCCCCTCCGGAAAACCGGGGGAGGTCACTACCGGTTCGACCCCCTCCCCCCCCCAGTCCATCATGAAAAAGGGGGGGGGTCACTACTGGTTCGAACCCCCCCCCCTCTCCCCTCCGGAAAACCGGGGGGGTCACTACCTGTTCGAACCCCCCCTCCCCCCCTCTCGAAAACGGAGGGGGGGGTCACTACCGGGTCGAACCGCCCCCTCCCCTTCGCCGCCGGGCCGGGGAGAGTGGGGACATTGACACACTGCTGGGGCACTGGTGGGGACAGCGGGGACAATGGTGGGAACAGTGGGGACAGTGGGACAGTGGTGGAGACGGTGGTGGACAATGGTGTGGGGACAGTGGTGTGGGGACAGTGGTGTGGGGACAGTGGGAATGTGGTGGAAACAGTGGGAAAGTGGAGGGTACAGTGGTGGTGAGGACAGTGGTGAGGGCGGTGGCGAGGACGGCGGTGGGACAGTGGGACAGAGGTACAGTGGGGACAGTGGTGGGGACAGCGGGGACAGTGGTGGGAACAGTGGGACAGCTCAGTGGGACATCGGTGGAGACAGTGGGACAGTGGGGACAGTGGGGACAGTCGGGCAGTGGTTGGGGCCGTGGAGAAAGTGGGAGAGAGTGGAACCGTGGTCGGAACAGTGGTGGGGACAGTGGGGACAGTGCGACAGTGGTGGGGGCACTGGTGGGGACAGTAGGGACGGAGGTGGAACCAGTGGAAATAGTGGTGGTGAGGACAGTGGTGCTGGGGACAGCAGTGGGGGATGTGGTGCGGACGGTTGTAGGGACCGGGAGTCGTTTGCTGGCGGTGAGCGTGGGGGGGGGGGGGTTCGAACCGGTAGTGACCCCCCAGGTTTTCGAGGGGGAGGGGGGGGTTCGAACCGGTAGTGACCCCCCCGGTTTTCGAGGGGGGGGGGGTTCGAACCGGTAGTGACCCCCCCGGTTTTCGAGGGGAGGGGGGGGGGGGTTCGAACCGTAGTGACCCAGTGACCCTGGCCGGGTTTTCGAGTGGGGGGGGTTCGAACCGGTAGTGACACCCCCCGGTTTTCCAGAGGGGAGGGGGGGGGTTCGAAACCGGTTCTGACCCCCCCGGTTTTCCGGAGGAGACGGGGGTGCCATGGGGGAGGGTTCGAACCGGGTAATGACCCCCCCGGTTTTCCCGGAGGAGGGAGGGGGGGGGGTCAGGGGAGGGGGGGGTTTGGCCCGAGGGAAGGGGGGGGGGGGGATTCCAGCAGGGGGGGGGGGATTTTTCGGAGGGGGGGGGGGGGCCCGGGTTCCGGAGGAAGAGGGGGAGGAAAGGTCCACATGTGTAAAGCGGCGGTGGGTCACGCCCTCTCGCTGGTAGCCTTCTTCCCCATCATGTCCATCCCCTGTCGATCGCGCCGGTGGGCCCCCCAAAAAAACATTTCCCAAAATGCAGAGCTGACCGACCCGGGAGGGTGGCTTCTCGTCTAGCTGGGACTACTCGGGGGGGCCTGCCGAGGCCGGGCGGGACTGCCTGGGGGGGGGGCGTCTGCGCGCGACCCAAGGCCTTTAACTGACCGAGACCCTCCAGGCGAGAAGGAGGAGGAGGAGGAGGAGGAGGAGGAGGAGGAGGAGGAGGCGGAGGGGGAGGAGGGGGAGGAGGAGGAGGAGGAGGAGGAGAGGAGGAGGAGGAGGAGGAGGAGGAGGAGGAGGAGGGGGGGAGGGAGGAGAGGAGGAGGAGGGAGGAGGAGGAGGAGGAGGAGGAGGAGGAGGAGGAGAGAGGAGGAGAGGAAGGAGGAGGAGGAGGAGAGGAGGAGGAGGAGGAGGAGGAGCGGAGGAGGAGGAGGAGGAGGAGGAGAGGAGGAGGAGGGGGGGAGGAGGAGAGAGGAGGAGGAGGAGGAGGAGGAGGAGGAGGGGGGAGGGAGGAGGGAGGAGGAGGAGGAGGAGGAGGGAGGAGGAGGAGGAGGAGAGGAGGGGAGGAGGGAGGAGGAGGAGGAGGAGGGAGGAGGAGGGGGGGGGGGGAGGAGGGAGGAGGAGGAGGAGAGGAGGAGAGGAGGAGGAGGAGGAGGAGGAGGAGGAGGAGGAGGAGGAGGAGGAGGAGGAGGAGGAGGAGGAGGAGGAGTGGAGGAGGAGGAGGAGGAGGAGGAGGAGGAGGAGGAGGATAGGAGGAGGAGGAGGAGGAGGAGGAGGAGGAGGAGAGGAGGAGAGGAGGAGGAGGAGGAGAGGAGGAGGAGGAGGAGAAGGGGAGGAGGAGAAGGAGGAGGAGGAGAGAGGGAGAAAACGCTTCTCTTGCTGCTTATCCCCGCCCCCCCGCCCCAGGAGCTGACGCATCGTAGAAAAATATGTGGGCGCACCATTCCAGCAGATGAGCCTGGCGTTTGCTGGGGAACGCTCAACCAAACATGAACAACAAAACAAGCAAACACACAGACAACCAAACAAACAAACAAACAAACTGAGAAACACACAAACAAGCTCACAAACAAACTCACAAACAAACAAACAAACAAACAAACAAACAACAAACAACAAACAGCAACCAAACAAACAAACAAACAAGCAACCGAACAAGCAAACAGACAAACAAAAACTACCAAACAACGACGACGACACTCATGGCTCATGGGGGGCCAACAAAACAAGCAAGCACTACACGCAGCCAACAGCAAAAAAACGCCCCCCTCAACGGAGACGGAAAGGGTCGGGCGAAGAGGCGACCAGCGCCTCCCGGCGCCAGGTCCATGACGATGACGCACACGAAGTCCTGCCCCTCCTCACCTCGGGAGACGCGGCCACTCCGATCCCGAGGCCCGGCTGCGGCCCGATCCCGACCCCCATCGGTCGAACGCCTGCCCGCCCCAGACGTGCAGCCCACGAGCGGCGAGCGCATCCGCATCTTCGCCCTCGCGGTCTGGATGCCGGGGCGCGGTGCCGCGGATACGCGGCCGCACGGATGCGTTCAGCGCGGGGCATCCCGAAAAAACACCCCGTATCCGCGGGGCTGCGGCCGCGAAGCCCGCGAAGACGCGAAGCCGCGGATACGGAGGTGTGCTTCGCCCACGAGCAGCATCTTGAGCAAGACAGGAAGGACTTAAAGCTGGCCCCGGGGAACGGGTCGGGACTTCCGTGGGCCGCGCACTGGAGAAATCAAGACGTCGCACGTCCGGGGTTCCAGTGCGGACGCGGCCGCGAGAATCCCTCGCAGGAAGCCCACCACTGAGAGCTCGCGCGTGCGAGAGGCCAACGCGGGGAAAGCAGAAACACCCTGAACTTCAGCAGCTCCCTTCCCGGCCGCGGGATGCCACCGCGCAGCGCGCGGAGCGAAGAAACCCTAGGCACACTGAGGAAAAACATCTGGTCTCTCGATGCGCGTCCCCAGTCGGCCACCGCGCTTGCAGCGGTAGGTGTGTGTGTGTGTTGTGTGTTATGTGTGTTGTGTGTATTGTGTGTTGTGTGTTGTGTGTGTTGTGTGTGTTGTGTGTGTGTTGTGTGTTGTGTGTGTGTTGTGTGTTGGGTGTGTTGTGTGTGTTGTGTGTGCTGTGTATGGGTTGTGTGTGTTGTGTGTGTGTTGTGTGTGTTGTGTGTGTGTTGTGTTGTGTGTGTTGTGTGTTGTGTTGTGTGTGTTGTGTGTGTTGTGTGTGTGTTGTGTGTTGTGTGCGTTGTGTGCGTTGTGTGTGCTGTGTGTGTTGTGTGTTGTGTGTTGTGTGTTGTGTGTTGTGTGTGTCGTGTGTTGTGTGTGTGTTGTGTGTGTTGTGTGTGTGTTGTGTGTGTTGTGTGTTGTGTGTTGTGTGTTGTGTGTTGTGTGTGTTGCGTGTTAAGTGTGTTGTGTGTGTTGTGTGTGTGGTGTGTGTTGTGTGTGGTGTGTGCGTTGTGTGTGTCTGCGTTGTGTGTTGTGTGTTGTGTGTTGTGTGTTGTGTGTGTTGTTTGTGTGTGTTGTGTGCGTGTTGTGTGTTATGTGTTGTGTGCTGTGTGTTGTGTGTTGTGTGGTGTGTGCTGAATGCTGTGTGCTGTGTGCTGTGTGTTGTGTTCTGTGTGCTTTGTGTTGTGTGTTGTGTGTTGTGTTTGTGTGCGTGTGTGCGTGTGTGTGCGCGCGTGCGTGCGTGTGTGCGTGTGCGCGTGCGTGTGCGTGTGCGTGTGCGTGTGCGTGTGCGTGTGCGTGCACGTGCGCGTATGCGCGTATGCGCGTGTGCGCGTGCGCGCGTGCGCGCGTGCGTGTGTGCGTGTGTGCGTGTGTGCGTGTGTGCGTGTGGGCGTGTGTGCGTGTGTGTGTGTGTGCGCATGGTCCATGTGTGCGTGTGTGCGTGCGTGCGTGTGTGCGTGTGTGCGTGTGTGCGTGTGTGCGTGTGTGCGTGGGTGCGAGTGTGCGTGGGTGCGCGTGTGCGCGTGTGCGTGTGTGCGTGTGTGCGTGTAAGGGTGTGCGCGTGTGCGCGCGTGCGCGCGTGCGCGTGTGCGCGTGTGCACGCGTGCGCGTGTGCGCGTGCGCGTGTGCGCGTGTGCGCGTGTGCGCGTGTGCGCGTGTGCACGTGTGCGCGTCTGCGCGTGTGCGCGTGCGCGCGTGTGCGCGTGTGCGCGTGTGCGCGCGTGCGCGTGTGCGCGTGTGCGCGCGTTCGCGTGTGCGCGTGTGCGCGTGTGCGCGTGTGCGCGTGTTCGCATGTGCGCGCGTGCGCGTGTACGCGTGTGCGCGTGTGCGCGTGTGCGCGTGTGCGCGTGTTCGCGCGTGCGCGTGTGCGCGTGTGCGCGTGTGCGCGCGTGCGCGCGTGCGCGTGTGCGCGTGTGCGCGCGTGCGCGTGTGCGCGTGTGCGCGCGTGCGCGCGTGCGCGCGTGCGCGTGCGCGCGTTTGCGCGCGTGCGCGTGTGCGCGCGTGCGCGTGTGCGCGTGCGCGCGTGTGCGCGTGTGCGCGTGTGCGCGTGTGCGCGTGTGCGCGTGCGCGCGTGCGCGCGTGTGCGCGTGCGCGCATGTGCGCGCGTGCGCGTGTGCGCGCGTGCGCGCGTGCGCGCATGCACGTGTGTGCGCGTGCACGTGTGCGCGCGTGCGCGTGCGAGCGTGCGCGCGCGCGCGTGCGCGCGTGCGCGTGTGCGCGTGCGCGCGCGTGCGCGCGTGCGCGTGCGTGGGTGTGTGGGCGTGTGGTTGTGTGGGTGTGTGGGTGTGTGGGTGTGTGGGTGCGCGGGTGTGTGGGTGCGTGGGCGTGTGGGCGTGGGTGTGTGGGTGCGTGGGTGCGTGGGTGTGTGGGTGTGCGGGTGTGTGGGTGCGTGGGTGTGCGGGTGTGTGGGTGTGTGGGTGTGTGTGGGTGTGTGTGTGTGTGCGTGTGTGTGGGTGTGTGTGGGTGTGTGTGCAAGTTTGCGTGTGTGTGTTTGTGTGCGTGCGTGCGCGTGCGAGGGCGCGCGCGTGTGCGTGTGCGCGTGCGCGTGCGTGCGCGCGTGCGTGTGCGCGCGCGCGTGCGTGCGTGCGCGTGTGCGTGTGTGTGCGTGTGCGGGTGCGCGCGTGCGTGTGCGTGTGCGTGTGCGCGCGAGCGTGCGCGTGCGTGTGCGCGTGCGCGTGCGCGCGTGGTCGCGTGCGCGCTCGCGCGTGCGCGTGTGTGCGCGTGCGTGTGCGTCTGCGCGTGTGCGCGTGTCGCGTGCGCGCGCGTGCGCGTGCTGCGCGCCGTGCGCGTGTGCGCGTGCGCGCGCGTGCGCGTGTGCGCGCGCGCGCCGTGTGCGCGTGCGCGCATGTGCGCGCGTGCGCGTGCGCACGACGTGCGCGGCGTGCGCGTGTGCGCGTGCACGCGCGTGCGCGTGTGCGCGTGTGCGCGGTGCGCGTGTGCGCGTGTGCGCGCGCGCGCGTGTGCGCGTGTGTCGCGCGTGCGGCGTGCGCGTCGCGCGTGTTTCGCGCGCGCGCGCGTGCGCGCGTGCGCGTGTGCGCGCGCGCGCGTGCGCGTTGATCGCGGGCGCGTGCGCGTGCGCGCGTGCGAGCGTGCGCGCGCGCGTGTGCGCGTGTGCGCGTGTTCCGCGTGTGCGCGCGACGGAGGGGGGGGTGCGCGCGTGTGCGCGCGCGTGCGCGCGTGCGCGTGTGCGCGTGTGCGCGTGTGCGCGTGCGCGCATGCGCACGCGCGTGTGCGCGCGCGTGCGCGCGTGCGCGTGCGCGCGTGTGCGCGTGCGCGTGTATGCGCGTGTGCGCGTGTGCGCGCGCGCGCGTGCGCGTGCGCGCGTGTGCGCGTGCGCGTGTGTGCGCGTGTGCGCGCGTGCGCGTGTGCGCGTGTGTGCGTGCGCGCGTGTGCGCTTGAGCGCGTGCGCGTGAGTGCGTGTGCGCGTGCGCGCGCGCGGGTGTGCGCGCGTGCGCATGTGCGCGTGT